CCTGCAGTGCTGACGGTGTCGGACACAGAGGTCGCAGAGGAAACGGTGATCAGCGACGAGCCGTCTGTTAAGCGTCAGTGTGTGAAGGAAGAAGATGATGATGTTCAGATGACAGAAACACAAGACACACAGATACAGGAGAAAGTGGCTCTTCTGAAGCAGCTGGAGGAGGCGAACCGTGAGGTGCAGAAATACAGACAGCAGTTCCTGAAGAAGGAGCAGGAGGCGGAGGCGTACAGACAGAAGCTGGAGGCCATCACACGGCAGAGCGTGAAGAAAGCCGCCTGAACCTGACCGGATCATTATCATTCATTTACTTCAGTTCTCATCATAAAGCGTCTCAGCTGTGGTGCTCGTGCGGCCGACACGGGTTCGATTCTGACCCACATCCCACTGGCCTTTGAATAAAGAGACAGAAGCCCCTCAAAACCAGAATGAGGAAGGTGTAATTGTGCAGTAATGTCATGTGTTTGATCTGCACGTCTGATCAAATCCTTCATCGTCAGACTCGTTTTCCTCGCTGATAATCGACACGAATCTCTTGTGTTTATAGTTTCCTGCTGCTTGTTGTTTGTGATGCATTTTTCAGGATTTCTGTCATCTTATTTTTAAAGACAGCAGGACTGCTGGATTTGTTTTCTTTGAGGAGGATCTGAGCATCTCTCCAACACCGATCTGCTGGTTCACATCTAGACGGCAGATTAAAACACATCTTAAACTGAATATGCCGAATAAATGCACAATAAAAGTGTTTTACAGTCTGAACCAGCAACAGCATCTGTGCGTCTGTAGATGAAGTATTACAGTATTGGGAAGGTTCTGAGCTCTTCAAACGCACATATTTCAGATACGGATTGGTTTTTGATTCATGCTGTATCAGTGCTCATAAAGACAGATGCGTGTTTGGAGGTGCAGAACTATCATTCTGAATCCAAGCGTGTCTTTGTGTAGTTGGTGTGTTTGCGTCAGTGGGCGGCTCCATCAGCAGCAGCTATAAGAGCGGACTGAGATCTGAAGCGGCTCATCCTCGCTGATCTTCTCTTCCTCTGACAGACGCGATGCAGGCGCAGGAGTACATGATGAGAGGTAATGACACATCTCATCATGTTCACATCTGGCCAGTGTGTCGCTTCAGTAGTGACTTGTCTATTAGAACTGAATCATGTGAATGGTTCTGAATAGTTTTACAGGACACGACTAACCTTACTCAGCCTTGTACAGCCGGATTAGTTAAAAAACTTTTGATCTGTACATAAATGAGAGATGGTTTCCATCACATTTACTTCCTGAATAAATTATATTCAGGACATTTTAATCAAGTGTTTGTACTCTGTTGTCATCTTCTGAAATCTTTTACGGCATTAAATAGATTTCATATTTATGTTCTGCTGTAATATCTGAGTGTCTGTGCTCTTCGCCTGTTGTTTTATAACTTTTCTCTAATGTTGTTCAGTCTTGTATTTGCAGTGATTTATAGTGATCTTCTCACAGTGTGTTTGCGGTTTAATGTGTTGTTGTTCCTCTGTTGTGTGTGTATGTGTGTGTGTGTGTGTGTAGGGAAGGAGATGGTGGATTTCATCCAGCAGTATCTCACACAGATCCGTGAGCGGCGGGTCGTTCCAGACGTTCAGCCGGGTTTCATGCGTCCTCTGCTGCCTAGCAGCGCTCCATATGAGTCGGAGGACTGGAGCAGCATCATGAAGGACGTGGAGAACATCATCCTGCCCGGAGTCCGTCTGTCTGTTTCTCTGTCTGTCTCTCCGTCTGTCTGTCTGTCTCTCCGTCTGTCTGTCCTGTTGAACTCCAGTATGCTGTAATGCTCCTGTCCGTCTGTCTCTGCATCTGTCTGTCTGTCTCTCCGTCCGTCTGTCTGTCTGTGCATCTGTCTGTTCATCTGTTTGTCTGTCTGTCTGTCTGTGCATCTGTCTGTTCATCTGTCTGTCTCTCCGTCTGTCTGTGCATCTGTCTGTCTCTCCATCTGTC